ACGATATCAGTTGGTAAACCCGAAACCAGTCCGGTCACAAACACACAATGTCGTATTACTGACGGTCAACAAGGTCTCTCAATAGGTTCAATACAATTGCCATTTCAGTATCTGCATTTCTTATTGTTCAGCACTTGATAAAAAATTTCAAGCTTTTCGTTACATCTAAGAGCAGTCATTTGTTTTCTCAAAATCCGAATTTTCGGTCATCACCATAAAATGACAGCCACCTAATTTGTTCCCTGCATAAATTTATCGTTATAATGGAACTGCACAGCATTTTAAGTAGCCTCAGCGTATTTAAATAGTGAACCGAGTCTCCCAAGACACTACTTTTCCCGCACATTGACACAAACTTTATTTTCCTGCCCAGAGCTTATAAAAGAATGGTTCAATCTGCATCGTATACTGCAGCAGGGCATTTAAAGGCAATGCTTTAAAGCTATATGACGAATAAATGATGCGCTTTTAAACCCCCAATCACGTATTTCGTCGCGAAGCCATTACAGGACTTAAGTAGTCATGTCAATCAGTACCATGGTTTTATTTTGACCGTATATGAAAGATTGCATATGTTTCTTAGTCAATTAGATGATCGGTACGGACGGATGAACCCAGCACGTACAAATTACTCTTGACGACTAATTGCTTCATAAAGCTGTTCGTGCCCGGCATATCCTAAGTACTTACGTGTACCAACTGACTGACCAACTTTCTCACTTGAAAAGGCGTTTCACGTAATGTCATGTTTTGCAGCCTTCAAAATAAATCTAATTCCCCACAAACGTCATAAGATTTATGACAGGACAGCCTGTCAAGAAACAGACAGATCCAGATTCGTGTTCGGTTGCAGCTTCTCGTTGGGTATACCGCTGTTTTACGGCACAAGTGCTCAGCCTCCACTTGAATTGCGAGAACGCAGCCTCCCATCCCAGATTCACTACGTTTGCGAAACCATGATTTTTGAATTAGGGAAAATATATCCACTATTTCAGGTATCAGACACCGCCTGTCCTCTAAGGCGCTTCTCGTTTCCATGGTCCTGTGTCCTGCTTACGGGACAGCTAAGATTAGGCCAACTTTCTTAATTTATCTAAATTGACTAGTTGTTGCGTGGGATGCTGGCTTTGTGCATACATTGCGCGCCTAAGAAAATTGCAACAGCCATGGACAAAATTTGACTAACTTTCAAGCAAGCAAACTGAAGGAGGCGTATTGGGTCCCTTGAACGCGTTTAAGGCTGACGCACGGGAAAATAAGCCATGGAAAAGCGTACTTTGACAGATAGCTAAGGGCTAAGTTTGATGTGCATTTTCGTCAATTCCAAATATGAGGTTTATGGTCTCGCATTTTAGGAAGATTATCTTTCTCGGAAAAGCGGGTTACCCCACACTCCTTCCTTTAGTAATGCCTTAAAAAATTTACGTTGAGAATCAAAGCTCAGAAAATATTCTAAAAATTATTGTGGTACTGCATAATTCTGGAAATTAAAAGACATTCAGTCGATCCAGTATGCGTCCGTAAAGCATTGAATAAAAAGCGTTTAAACTTAGTTTCCCTTTTTGAAATTTCTGAAACTTAACAGGGCCTTAAACTGAGAGGATAGGACATCTACCAAGAAAAACTCCTCTTCCTTTTGTTACCCACAACTTTAATGAGTAGTTTGGTCTGTCTTATATGCTGTAAGAAGTACTGGCATCGGATTATACGTTCCATCCCAGAGCCAAAGAATCAAAGCGGGTTAATAGATATGGCGAAAGATATTTAGTCGGTATCTTACTAATCGCAAGCTCACCAAGACCATCATAAAAGCTAGAAGCACAAAAATGGATGAGGATGACATACAGACGACTGCAACAGGGTCATGCTTGTTAAGCATAATCTATATGGTAGAAGCGTTGAGATAGAGAAATTGATTTTTTCTTTAACACGTCAAACTGATCGGAGGAACGTCCCTTTTGTAGGGTAAGTGGACGCTAGAGACCTGCATTTTGTTGCGCGCACAATACATTGTACGAAATGTCACATCAAGTCAGAAGTGCCGGGTCTCGTCGAATAGGCCGCGACTTTGGACCAAAAGACCCACTCCCACGGCGGAGACATTTGAAATCGTCTACCCTATCTGGTGCACTTGCGGACAAAGCAATTACGTAGGAAAAACTAGAAGACCGCTCCGGACGCGAATCGCCGAACACGCGGCATCAGTTGGAGAAATGACGGCAACTTTCAAGTCGCAGCTCATTCGACGATACCGGCCGTACATCCAAGTTCGATGAGGCCAAAATCCTCACGAGAGGTGTTAGTCGCTTGAACCGCGAGTTGCTTGAGTCATGGTTCACAGGACCTCGGTCTGTCAACATGCGCAATGATATCCTCAGTTCGTATTCAGTGCTGAAACATAGTCTAGCCAAAGTAATTTACCCCTCGGGGAGCGCGCAGGCCGGCAAGCCAGATGGCCTAGCAATCATCACGTCAACACCCAACACGGGTGATGCAATTTCAGTAATTATTAACTTGAAGGCCGGCCATCAAGCAGTTAGCACACCAGCGGGCAGCTCTCCTCGATAAAGGAGAGAGCGGCCAACTATCATAGGTATGCAATATAATAGCAACCGCTTCCTATAAGTGCTGCACTTTCCTGTGCACGAATCATCCGTAGCTGTTACTGTCGCCGAGGATGTGTTCGAGTTTGGATCGGAAACGTCAGGCGAATAAAACTCCTGTTCCAACGATCACTTTTGCTTCTTATCATAGGTCTCGGTTACACGGCTTGACTAATGTCAGCAAAGATGACATACCGGTTCGTCCAACCTCAGGTACGAGGAATCCGCCGTGCCATGCGATAGCAAAATAAGTAGCGGAGAATTTTAGGTCACTATAGTATGAGCTAGAGCCACGGTTATGGGGATGCCTTTGAATTCGTTAACGGCATGAAAGACCCGGACCCAAACAGGATGGTTGTTACCATTATATGTCTCGTCTCTTTTTTAAGACTCTGCCGGTCATGGAAACCGTCAGATATCTCTATGAATTCATCGCTTCCAATCAGCAGGATATAGGAATGTTGGTGAGTGGCTTCAATGGATTGTTATCCAGATATACCTTGAACGTGCATTTCCTACTTGGTAACAGCCTGTTTGTACAGATAGCCGGAGTAGCTATGGGTCCGCCCCTTGGTCCGCTTTTGAGGAATATATTAAAGAACAAGCTAGAAACTTTCCAGATTCATTACCACATCAACGGTATGTGATACTATGGGCGTTACATGGATGATATATTCGCGATTGCACCTGAACAAAACGGCGCATCATTTCTACTGGATGATAAAACTCAAACGCTCTGTCTACCGAATTTACGCAGGAAGTAGGGCAATCATGTTTGCTTGCTTTTTCGGACGTGTTTCTAGCAGGAGGTCTAACGGCAGTAATCGACGTAGCGTATTTTTTAAGAATACATGGTCAGGAGAATTCACCAACTTTGGGAGTTTCGTACCACTAAATTTGACAGGCAATTTAGTCTGGCCGTTTGACACAAAAGATGTGAAGTACCTGCTCGGCTGATAGTTTGTCCAAAGGCCCTTCTCACTCGAACGGGTATCCTGCCAAGTACATGACCGAAAGACCACAAAAAACCTCCGATACTGACGGCAGGAAAGACGAGGCTTTTTATCAGAGTCCTACTTTAAGGGAACGCGCCGAGCGAACTTTTAAGAAGGCGCTTATCTCAAGCTGTATCACCCACCTTTCCAGCAGCTGGCACCCTTGTACTGTTCTCCACTAGTTCGATCCCATACGCGAAGGACAAGGACAAACTGCCGGGCCAAACTACCTCTTTGTGTATTTACTCCTTCACCTGCTCCTCTGAGGCAGAACATTCGACGATAGGCTTGTATGCGGAACATTTGTTGCTTACACCCATTCGGGCATTTTCCAGCATTTAGTTCCCATTTTTCAGTTTCTACGCCACAGGACTACCGCGTTATAATGGAGAAAAATCGTTTCTGTGTTCACAACCGCAGGCGACTTTTCGCTCACTTCGATATCGGTATTAGCTTATTTTTTTCTACCTGAGAATTCATCTCCTCGGCTCAACTCTTTTAAGTCGCCTTTGTTAGTCTTAGGGCCGGTCCCATTTATTCAAGCCTTTCCACTTCGTATATGCAGATACTTTCCAGTCACGATGCATATCAAAGTAATGAATTTTGTAAACGAACGGGAAATCCTCACTTTCTGGAGTTTTATCTCAGTTCGCTTGTTACAATTTGTTTCGTAGTTGTGGGCAGTCAAATACTCAACTGCTTCTACACCTCGTTTCACGTGGCTTTTTTCTCCTTAGGCACAAGCTAATATGACTGTGGCTTTTAGCTGTCAATAACGCCATTCACTTTCCCAAGTCATCAAACTTGAACTGGGACAGCGTATTTGTCGCTGGGCCCTTTTTTGGTCCGTGTTCCCTTTAATTTATTCTCCTCCAAAGCCTTGACCTACCCTCGGCTTTTTTTATTGAACGCTTCAAATCTTTTCTCCCTCTTCCTTTTTCGGTGGCCCGAACCTGTGAAGACAGCGCACTTCAACTAGAAAAAGTGTCCGCTGAGCCCTACGACCAATCAGAATCGGACGGGAACAGACGTCTTGCCTTCCTGACCTAAGGTTTAAAACAGCCTATTAGCGCAGTCTGCTATTGCAATGCTGTAACAGGCACAGAAGCACACATGCACACACACACACACCGCATCACCGAAAGACGGGCTCGGTCGTGCGCAGGCGTGCACACGAAAGTCTCGGCCTCCGTGGTTGAAGTTTTAGCGGCCTGTCTATTTCTGCGCTCTTCAAAAACCACAGCAGGGAGACGAAGGTCACATTTTACTGTTGCTACACTCGAGCCCTGCTTTTCGATAGTGTACCTCTCAAACTTCCTGTCACTGGTGACTTCCCTTCCGTCCACTCTCATCCTCCTCGCTCGAGCTGGTTCCCAAATCCTCATAGGTCTTCGTCCCCAAAATGGAGATCCGCAAGAGCCTAGAGGCAAACTTTCTCACCTGTCGGATTTGCAATCAACCCTTTCGGGAACCCAAAGTGCTCCTATGTATGCACACCTTCTGCAAGCCCTGTCTGGAGCACGTGCTGGAACAGGACAAGCTGCAGGCTGCGAGGAAACGTCGAGAACTGGAAAAGCAACGGTCGAGTGGCTACTCCTCGACCTCGTCCTCCGTTTCTACCTACAAGGGACGATGGTCACGCGCCTTTAAGAGTTCCGGATACGGCAGTGAAAGCTCCTCCACCTCCTATGACATCTACGGCAAACATAGGTTCAGCGAGGATGAGATCCAGTGCCCGGTGTGTGAGAAGAAAACAACTTTACCGATGTCCGGGGTGCACGGTCTGCCCGACGATCAATTGGCGGGAAAATTAGCCTCCATCGTGGGTCGCATCCCCAAGTATCCCGTGTGTGATGTCTGTGGTGGCAGTGCAGGCGACGGATGTCAGACAAAAGACTCCGAGCTCACAGTGGCCTCCAGAGAGCTGCCCAAAGCCGTTGTTCAAGCCCGTCCTTGGACTGACGCCGAGGATGGCAGCACTAGTGATATTCAAACGACTGAGGATGAGGACGAACAGCCGACCACTCCGGCTCAGAGGAGTTTTGGATTTCGGTCCGGTCTCCTGCGCCATACTCGGCGCCACCGCCCAGCTCAGAAGAACAAGAGGCCAGCCAACGTGTCTGATGACGAGTCTAGGATGCGCCCTGCGATCACCCCTTGCCCTACCAATCAGACAGAGCCTCACAGGGCTATTGCAGCTTGTCTGGAGTGTGGTAAGCGACTGTGTGAATACTGTCACGGGAATCACACGAGGATCGCAGTAACAGCTGATCATGTAATTGTGTCTTTGGAACAGCTCGAGTCCATGTACTGTGCGCGACACCCACGGGAACTGCGTCGGTTCTTCTGCGTCACTTGCGGTGAGTTAATCTGCCTGGTGTGTACTTTTGAGTCCAGTTTCTCCGGTGCAAGTTCTGATGTCAATTCTGACAACCCCACCTCGCCATCGCCATGTGGCCACTCAGAACACGAGGTCCTGTCCATTCGGCAAGGCCTATGCACCCTCGAGCGGAGCATTAACAAGGCAGCCTTTGACTGTAAGCAGAAGGCCGAACGCCTGGAACTCTTGCTTCTTGGTATCCGTTCGTGTGAAGGTCATGTGAAGGCCCTAAAGGACGCGATTGAGGCAGCTGCTGAAGAGATGACACAGACAATAGCCAGCAGAAAGGAAGCGCTACTCCGCCAACTGGATGTTGATGTGGGTGTGCCTCTAGACAGTCTGGTCAGTCAGTGTGAGACCATTGTGAACTCTGTAACTAGCTGGGAGGAATTGCAAAGTGAAGACAGTTACCTGGATTCTTTGTCTGGGCTGCATCCAGTCCAAGCAGTCACTGACGCCAGTCTGATTCGAGATCGTTTTGTCGGCTGCCTCGAAGTCCTAAATGCATCCATTCCAAGGACGGATAACTGGTCAAAACTGGTCGCGGAGGTGGACAGTCTGGCACAAAATTTCAATAAACTGAACTGTTTAGAAGATGGAAATTATGCGCCAGATGCAGATGTAGGAAAGATGGAGAACGGGGAGGTGGAGGGCAGTGCGTTTCCACTAGAAAATGGCGAATTAAAGATTTCAAAGCGTGTACGTTTTAAACCCCCAGCTGAGTTCGCCGGGGTAATACCAGCCTCCTATACTGCCCACTGGACACGCCGCCTCGGCAAGTTCATCAAGGGCGCCGGCGTTCAGCTGGGTCGCCGGGTCACACCTGGACAGTTAGCAGCTGAAGCGGCCCAGCGCCAGGAGAAGGTTGTGAGCCGGGCCATCCAAGCCAGCCCTACAGACGTGCATGGTAAGCCCCTGCCGGCGGAGAAGGACTCGCGCCGACATCGTGCCATACAAGTCGATCTCTTACTGGCCAATAAAACTGACCTCTCGGTGCAGACTGAACCCTGTGCCGCTGGAGCGACGGCACTCAGGGGAAAGCAGGACGCTGGCACGCAGTACCTGAGCTCAGACATCAACATGCCGTTGAGCTTCTTTCGCAGTTCTCGACAGATTGTTGTTCAGCAATGACGCCGGTTTGATCTCTGAAACCCGCATAAGACGCTTTAAGAGCGCTGAGTTCGGCAGCACTCTGCTTCCTAGCGCGTCCCAACCACCACTCCCTCTGTCGTCGTCGTCAACGCCTTCTGATTGCCTTCTGAATGTCTCAGACACAATTATTCACAGATGAGCCAATGCTGATGCTGTATTTTTCTGTTCCGGCCTGTTCAATGATCTCCTGACTGAAATAAGGGCGAAACCAAGCCTTATCTTCTTGTAGGCCTCATTCATTGAAAATTCACTGATAAATGCCAATTACACTGTCTTCTGTGTAGGGTTTGTCTGGACTCTGATTCGAGAGTTCTAGCTAACTAATCTGTTCGCCAAAAATTTTGTGAACAGGAAGCTGCGAGTGGGATGCCCTAGGTCTTTCCACACCTGTTACTGTTGAGAATAGAGCATTCTGCTGCAAAGGGTGCAATAAGTGCAAAAAGTGGAAGTCTGCTTACTGAATTTCTAAAGAAAATATGTCTTAACTGTCTGATGGAGTTTAGCGACTGCACGCAAGAAGTTACAAGTCTCAGAAGAGTCTCGTGGTTTTATTATTCGTACTCAGTTTTGGTGCTCCTTTAGTGTCATACTTCTTTCAGAGGAAAGTACTGAAATCTTGGCAAGAATTTAAGAATTAGTCCGGTCGTATAAAAATGCCTTTTCGTTACCGGACAAAAAAGGCTGGTCTTTATTAGCAGCACTCTCCCGTGTTAGTTTAAATGTCCAAATATCATGCTCCATGTTTTAAATAAATAAATAAATCACGTGGGCCTGGTAATCATCTGGTGTTTTCCAGACTGATTTCTTAGGAAGCCCTGCTTGGGCAGTCAGCTTACTGTATCAAATTTGGTGAATTCCAGAAGTTTCAGTAGGATGGGAGGGTAAATAGACCCTAGTGTGATTGAACTCACGTCTTCAGGCGGGGACTCGCAGCTCAGGTGGCTAGAGCGCTAGCTGCAATAAAGTATCCCCCTTGCCGTCATGGGCTCGAACCCCGAGTTTTTCACAGTTGAATCAGTATGCACTAAAGGAATGAAAAACGGTCAACTTAAACTCACTTATTTGTAAGGCAATAATTGCGTGGTTTCCAGCTCCGTACCAAGGCAGCAAAAAGGGACAATTCCTGGCAGTCCGATTCGGATCCGTAGCCACAGCGATTTAGGCTCTAGACCAAGGTGCGCGACAAAGAGTACTTTACGATTGTTGTTACATTCAAAAAATAATGTCAGTGATATTAATCTGGCTGCTCGAATGAACAGAAATCTGAATGGGCATGTCTCGTTGACGGAAATGAAGATTCCTAAGTATTAATAGTAAGATAACGGGCGATACTTATGCGACCACAACACTCGGCCGTCGGTAATGACCGATCAGCCCACCTTTCTAGCTTGTTCGTTGTATTTTGCCTTTGAGCCTTGATAGCTGGTAGAATTCTCATCCAGGTGCGTATTCATGACTCGCGAGGGCGGCCATCTGTTCATTTCGAGCATATTTTCTGCTGGGTCATAGGATAAACCTCATTTCTGCAGGGCGAAGTGCGTGTTTTTTTTATTTTAAAAGTAGAAAGCAACTTGGTTTATGTGTATATTGACAGTTTTTAATGCACAGCCAACCTCGGCATGAATGCGCTAATGACATCTGACAGATTCGCTAGGTTTTGAAGACAGACAAAGCCACCTAATCACAGTAGTATAATCAGGTGAAGCAGGATATTTTTTATCTGTTCACATAGCATGGTTGATTTGAATTGGCCTTACGGTTAACTCAAAGTTTTTACCTCTCAAGAGAAATCTTTGTGCTTTTTGTTTGTCCGAAAATTGTTTTAGTTCCTAACAACAGCCTGCTACTCAGCTGATTAATCTATTACTTTTTCCCATAAGTTCGTGCGCTTTTCAATTATTTAAATTGTGTCATGTTGTAACTTGTTTAGTTCATTCACGTTATACGTCATTTTGTCCCCCTAACCAATCACTTGCAGAATACGTTTGCAAATTTTTAATCTAAAGTAACGTTTGATTATACACAACCCAATGGTTATGAAGTGTCAAGTCGACGAAAATTAACATTTCGTCTGTCCTCTTCTGTTCGAGCTTAGTAGAGGGGTCAACAAATTTGACACCCTCAAAGAGTTCGTTCCGTTTATGGGGAAGGTTTTTGATAAAAGAATAGCTCAGAAGTGGTTTTCCCCTTTTAAAAGAAGACGATTTCGGTACGACGGACACACCGCAGTCTGCATGGAAGTCAGTCTTCGATGAGGATCGTCCTAATGCTTTCATCCATGTAGATCCCCGTCAAACAGTTCGCAAACTAGTCAGAGAGGCAAAATACGGAAAATAAACGCTAGCTGAACATCTGCAGTCGATGAAAAAGATCCCTTAACTTGGTTCTCGAGTTCCGTACGTCTTGGGTGAGGACAGTAAAATTCAGCATGCAAATCTTTGTGCCTTTTTATTCGCCCGACATCGCCTCACCCGTCAGTTATGTGAACCACTTGAAAAGCTTATTATTGGTGGCGATGAGAAGTGCTGTTTATACCTGAATAAGAAACAAACGAAAAAAGGACTAAACTCTAACAAGCAAGCAACACCTAAAACCAAAACTGATCTCCATCTTCGCAAGCGGTCGTTGTGTGTCTGGTGGGCTTTGAAAGGAGTTATTCCCCGCGAATCGCTCGAAAGGAACAAGAGCATTAATGCAAAGCTTTAAAATCAACTGTTTCGTTATCTTGATGAACCAACTCAACCAAAACGCCATAGGCGTCGAAATGGTGCCATTATACAGCATGACAGCGTCAGGCCTCACACAATAAAATTCATCAAAAGGTCATTGGAAAGCCTGCCTGATAGGCTCCTTCGCATTCTCCATATTCTCCGGACCACGCTCTATCGGATTCACATCCTCCCGGTCATTCGAGAACAATTAAACTGGAGTATCCGTCAGAAACGCAACAGATCTCCTTAATTGGATCGATGACATAAGTGCTTTAAAATCTGCGGACTTTCTAAAGGGAAGAATTGAAAAACTGCCTAGAAGAAAGTTATGAACAACGAAGATGAATGTATAATTAATGAATTCTGTGAATTATATATAAGGATAGGACTAAATTTTAAATAATTGAAAAGTGCATGGACTTATGAGACTACCCAATATTTACCCTACTAACGAGAATATCCTCACCGCCGAGTAAGAAATATGCTAAATGAACGTAAATATGGGTCTACTAAAAATTAGGGAATTATCTTCTAAAGCAAATTTGAGCTCAATGACGACAGGAATTTACTTCGGCCGGATAACCCAACAAGCGCCTGAATCAATGAACAGGTAGCTCAATTCTTCTACTTGTAGCTCTGAAGTGTTCCATAGGCATTTAATTAGTATCTATAATCTACGTCCTTCTTCACTACTCTAGTCGATATTACTTATTGTTCACAATCTAAGCCGAGCCTCGCCAAACGTTTGCTTTCTTTTAAAAACAGGACTAAAATGAAATTGTAATACGAAATAGCATAGAACATGCTGTCAAAAATTCTCTTTATCTACGATTACAACGCTCCTTTGAGTATATTCCAAACCACCTGAGTATAGCGAGCCATATCATAAGGAACCATTTCAGCGGAGGGAATTTTCCCATTTGGTTTTGATTACTGCATAACTGTAATCTTTTTTGAAAGAGAAAATGGGCACAATTGTCGTTCTCATTTTGCTGTGAAGGACATACGTATTCTTCAAATATTGCACTCGAAAGAAACCTGCTTTTCGCTGTGAATTTTTCTATAAATTCATGTACCCCCCTCAGAGCCCTGCCATTTTAAATAAGGTTGGACTTTCCGAATCGAATACTGTATACAACAGATGTCGTCCACGTTGTAAACCTCAATAGTAACCTTTATGAACATGTTGACTACACGCTAGATAAAAAGCTCTGTCATCGTCGGAAGATCCTTAAAAGTATAGACTTTGAAGACTAGGTGATATTCAGTAGCTGAGTAGCCATTTGTTTGCATGTACGATTAACGCGGGTGCCCGTAGGCATGATCACTTGCGAACCAGAATCCCGGAGCCTGTGAGCTGCCTAGGGATTGTCATTCGCGATGGCTTTTATTCTCGGTACCTAACTGGCACCCAACTCCAACCTGCGGTCCCACGAGCCCATGTTCCGCGCAACAGTCGCACACCGATAACCACATCGACTGGTGTTGTCTGTGTTGTGGCACGTGTAGACGGAGCCCTCATGTCATGGCAGCCACTGCGCCCATTTGCCAGGCTTCCTGACGTAGTCTTGCCACTGAATCCCGTTGATAATGGGAAGAATAATGCGGGCCGATGCTGCGCAAGTCGTCATCTTCATCACTGAGTCCCCCCCAATACCAACCAATTCTCCAATCCCCACTTTGTGAGAGCCCTTTTAGGAGGGTGATGCAGGCTAACCTGAACCATTTCTTTACTCCGCCTCGCCACACATCACAATAGAATGCTGCCTCTACTTTTAGATATCTCAGCTTTTGTCATGATTAACCTATGACGAGTTCTTAATTTCATGGGCCTTGAAAAACACTCCGTATGCAATTCAGAGTCAATTTTTGACTGATGCCAGTGGGTCGCGGGTGAGACTTAAACTTAATAAGGGGACTGTCTTAGGATGCGCACAGAAAGGGGAAGAAGCCACTACATAGCCCTAGCTCAAATCCACATAATTCAGAGTATTAGAAATGTTGCATTAATGAGTGTACTTAAGCACTGAGAGACAATTCTTTTCTAGCACCATTTTTATTCAGCGGCACCCAAACTGCATACTGTTGCATAACACACACATTATTGACGCGGGTAATGTCAGTAGCAGGATTTCAAGACACTGCATGCACAAGCATACTTACGAGTTTCACTTACTACCACCTAAACGCAGCCTCCAAAAAGGATTATAGGATAAAATACTACGTCTAGAAAAGGGCGTTATCGACAATTTTGCAACGCTGTCTAGC